CAACAAATTTCTAACTGTTGATGCTCTGTGGGGAGCATGTAGAGTAACAGGTGCCAAATCAGTAGCCTGAAGAAGACCTACTGCTGTGCTTTTATGTGTATAAACTTTGTCCAAGCATAAGGTCTCAAAAGAAGCGATCTGTTGCTTAAAATGCAAATTTGAACAAGATTTTTCGTTTACTGATTGACTGTATTCACAGACACAAATGGCAAACGACATATAAGAGCAGCTAGTTGAGAGCTTGTGCATGTCTCAGTTGAGTTAACAGGCCTGTGAGGCACATGCTGTGAAGTGTGACTTAACTTGCTGAGGTAAGACGGCAGGTAATTGCGGATTGGCTTGATCAGGATCCAGAGGTGACGTAATCTGGATTCTGGGAAAGATTACGAGCAGCCAATCAGGAAAGGTAGATGGTTGATCAAGAGTGATAAGATCAGGCTGTGAGATCAGACTGATAAAAGAATTAACACCTGCTGGTGTACATTTTAAATTTTCAAAAGGTAAGCTTCACTTCTTCTTTTTGTGCTTTTTATGAAACCGAAGCATTAAAAGCACTAACAAGTCATGATTATCTTGTTACAATGTGATGTCCTTCTGCTAAACTTTGGGTCCTACTGTAGCATTCGTATGGACATTATTTTGATATGTACCACACCAAACCACTAAGGGCAAAGATACTCTGACCATGGCTACCTCTCCAAACAGGACAATGCACCCTGCTACAGCTAACACCACTTAGGAATACATAAAGATCCCAAAAGCATTGACTCCAACATTCCAGATCCTAATCAAACTGAGCATCCATGGGACTCATAGACCTCTATATGAAGGACTGATGTAGCTACAGTGTCAGCACCAGTGTTGGTCAAGTTACTTGAAAAAAGTAATCAGTAACTAATTACTGATTACTTCCCCCCAAAAGTAATCCTGTTACTTTACTGATAACTTATTTTCAAAAGTAATTAGTTACTTAGTTACTTTTTTAAAAAAGATTTATAACCTGAATAGGTAATAAAGCGATAGATCTTTCAGCCCAATTCTACTTTTTCTGCATAATCCATCATATAAAATGTAATCAAATGAAAAAGTCTCTTTTT